TAACATTAGACCATATTCAATTCAACAGGAAAAAGACGATGGACATAAGAGCAAGAACAATCCAAACAGATAACTGAAATCTTTTATAAGATCAGCGTTCCGTTTAAATATGATCACGTCGTCGTCACGTGGGCGATGTTGCTAAACGGAACGCTGATCTTATAAAAGATTTCAGTTATCTGTTTGGATTTTCATGTTTCCGTATATTTTTCTTATATATATATATATATATATATATATATATATATATGTGTGTGTGTGAAAAGTGTATATAAATAAATATAAGTATGTATAATTATTTATATATTATATGCGCGGTACTTATTAGAAAGCGTTCAATATCAGAGATAGAGCTAACATATTTGGTTGGAACTCACATCTATCCAAACAAATATATATATATATATATATATATATATATATATATATGCACCAAGAAATATGTTCATTGTTTTTCGTTCGTTCTCCTTTGAATTCATATCAATATTGGGCGATGTTTATCATTAAAGGAATGAGGAGAATGCATAGCATAATCTATTTCTTCATAGCTTAAACTAAACATTTTTCACTGTTTCGTGACTAAGTACCCGCTCATTTACATACTCACACAATTATATACGAGGTCCTATTTTTTGAGTAATTCTATTTTTTTTTGTCCTATCGATGCCTCTTGTTGCGTTAAGCGGCACAAGCGTAGTCCAGTGTGGTTGCAATCATTAATTACCTCATTAAAACCCCAATTCAAGAAAATTCGTAGTGACAGTTAAACACTTTACAATGCTCTTGGGCAAAATTGTAGCAAAATCTTGTCGTAATTTATGGTTGAAGTGACAAGTAATTTTACCTTATTATCGCTTTACAGGATTCGTTTAAAAAGGAGAAATGTATCCTAGAAAATTCGAAAATCATGCGAATAAAATTTCTTCATGAAATTGTCCAAGATTCTGAACCTCAATTTGAAACAAGGAAAAAGAAAATGATTTCTTTTATAAATTTAAATGAGTGTTACTTTCCGTATCTTCTTCGCCATTTAATATTTTCTCGGCAACCCCTCAGGAGGGACCTCAACGTTGCATCACGGAGTGAAATACCTCCAACTAATTTTCTTCGGGTTTCCTTTTTACTCGTTTAATTGCAGTGGAATCGGACTGATTTTAGAATAGTTTCCTGAGACACAGGTTGACTAGTTTATTATCACCTGGTGGTTTGTCCAACTCCTTCTGATATCAAAGTACGGCACGATTTCGAAAGTCATGTTAAAAACTGAAACAAACACAAACCACCGCTCTAAGGATTCCAGACCTATGTGCCCAAACACCCTCTCATTCAGTACAATAAGTTTTACAATTTTTCGACTTGACTATACATTAGGCAAATTTAGTTTCTACTGAATTCATATTTTCATGTTAACCCTAGTGTGCAATTACGTCAATTTGATACACGTATTTCCCACAGCAATATTTGCTTGATATGAAAGTAAACTTTGTTTAAACACGCTGTTAAAGATTTCATCCCTGATAACGTCCTCGAAACGCATTAGATTTAGAAGCCTCTCACTATAATTATGTTTAAGATCGTATAAAATTTCCGCGAGAGTTGATGAAGTCCTAGTCTTTAGGGGACTAAAATTCAAGCTGACGGATTCTGATATTTCAAAGTGAAACATATTTCAGAATGACATATATTTTTGTTTAATGTTTTTTGGTCAAAACCTTCTCACTATTCTCTGTGCCCAGTCCATGTTTTAACGTATATTCAGAGAGACCCAAATAAAATAATCACCCATCTCTGCCGAGTGATGGCAGTGTCGGAGCGCCGAGTTCGGACTCCTGTTGGCTTCAGTACATTCACTTACGCGCAAATACCCTTCGGAAAGGTATGTATCCATCTTTTCATCAACCAGATATGCGTTGAATACCAAGACAGGCTGGGTCTTATAGCCTTGGTTGACAAACAGACTATCGAAGAAATAAATAGCAACCTACTGCGACAAAACCTTGTTCCTACTAAGTCCTGAATCAAAAGACATTATCATCCGAGCGTCTATCACGTACGACACTTAAGCCTGCGTTTGTCAGCTCGGATTTCTAAAATAGATAGCCCCCAGAGTTGCTTTTATAGACCAACATAAAAATGATTGTAGTGTTACAATTATATAAAATATTGTGGCACTTCTAGGAAAAATAACAAAGCAAGCAATAGGCGTTACAATATACATTAAATAGCAACTTGTACTAAAGATGTAATTGTTCATTGAAATGAAAATTATAATAAATTTGTTGAATAAATATGTTGTAAATTGTAGATGAACACAGCAATACAGTAATTGACAAAACTTCTTTTTTTCAGCGAAAATAGCTATCAATATAGAAATAGATTATATTAGCTACACTCTTCTGTACAGGACTGGCAAAGGAATAATCATGAAAACTTAGTCTGGTGGAGTGAAACAACGAAGAAGACAAAGCGATATCGGCCGCAACCGAGTTACAACTGTGCCAAAACACGAGCAAAAGCACCCTCACTGGACCAGGAGGGTGCCGACAGGGTGAAAAATATACAGGTTTCCAAATAGGAATTTTGAGTATTTAAAAAATTTCTGGGCAATAAAACATTCCATGTGGCCAAGGCAGTGTTAACTGACTGAGTCGTTGTCTTTTGTTACCTGCTAAACTGTTTCATTCTTTGTTGCGTCCTATGATATTCTGCGTCTCTCACCTGCTGAGTTGACTTTTACAGTGTAACCCGGATATAAGAGAGTTGTCGGGACCGGAGAAGAAGTCTCTTATATCCAGGTTTGGTCTATTTTATATACATTAACACAGGCTGTAATTTGGGACCAGATAAAATCTCTCTTATATCCGGGTTTGGTCTATTTTATATACATTAACACAGGCTGTAATTTGGGACCAGATAAAATCTCTCTTATATCCGGGTTTGGTCTATTTTATATACATTAACACAGGCTGTAATTTGGGACCAGAGAAAAAATCTCTCTATATCCGGGTTTGGTCTATTTTATATACATTAACACAGGCTGTAATTTGGGACCAGATAAAATCTCTCTTATATCCGGGTTTGGTCTATTTTATATACATTAACACAGGCTGTAATTTGGGACCAGATAAAATCTCTCTTATATCCGGGTTTGGTCTATTTTATATACATTAACACAGGCTGTAATTTGGGACCAGAGAAAATCTCTCTTATATCCGGGTTTGGTCTATTTTATATACATTAACACAGGCTGTAATTTGGGACCAGATAAAATCTCTCTTATATCCGGGTTTATCTTATATCCGGGTTACACTGTACTACCTCACAATCAGTGTTAACTTCTGTTGCCACCTTGTCAACATTGCCGATTGCGCAATAAATTTAAATTCACTCGGTGTCTGTCATTGTTGAAAAATGCTGATCATTCTAATTTGACATAATTATTAAAGCTATGGTGTAAGGACATCGTTAGCAGTTTGTAAGTCAAATGCAGTTCATTTGGACTGGTTGATTCATATCTCCGCCATTGCTGTCGGAATTCTTGACGGCGGGAGTCAAGTGACTTAAGCCATGTCAAGATTATTAACATTGCAGGGTTTTTTTTATTTGTACTAAGTAAAAATTCATTAGTTCCATAGCAGAAGCACCAGACTAGATCTGGCAGCAATATACAATGCACTGAAGAATTAATGACTTGTAAATGTGAAAGACAGATTCAATGAACCATCTTTACTCGCAAAAGGCGCAACAATTTCTTGCCTATAATCGGTGTCATTTCTTGTCGGTGGAAAAAAAACTTGCCCGTGAAGGTGCAATCAATAACTCCCCTATTTACACACACTTATACAGGGTAACCCGTATATAAGAGAGTTGTCGGGACCGGAAAAGTCTCTTATATCCGGGTTTGGTCTCTTTTATATACAGTGTAACCCGGATATAAGAGACCCGGATATAAGAGAAACCCGGATATAAGAGAGATTTTCTCTGTTCCCAAATTAGAGCCTGTGTTAATGTATATAAAATAGACCAAACCCGGATATAAGAGACTTCTTCTCCGGTCCCGACAACTCTCTTATATCCGGGTTACACTGTACTAAAGACAATTTATTCCCAAACATCGATAGTCCTTTACTTTGTTCATAGCAACCTTTCTTGCTACAGGTGAATTTATTTACATTTTCAGCAGAAAGAGAAAGAAATCACGAGCAATCGTAAATAAATGGTTATTTCAGTTTCGTAATAATAAATGCTAATATAAAGAAAACAAAAAGTTTGAAAAAAAAACAAAGAAGGTTACACGATTTATTCGGCCAGCATGTATTTGCCCTTTTTCTTGTTATTGCCACGTTTCGTAGAAAGTTTTGAATCGTTTTCTACGGTTTATTAACCCTTTGCCTGTTATTTAAATCCAGAAATATATTGAGATAAGATATTACTGATCAAATCTTACAATTTAACCCATAGCCGGAGGAGAAGAGGTGGGTTCATACCTTTTCCGGGGTTATATGCGCTGCAAGAAACTAACTCGAAGCAACAGAAATGTGCTTCTACAGAAATATACTCTGGTTAACATGGACCAAACATGAGAGCAACGACGAAGTTTTGGAGAAAATGTAAAAAAAAAAATGGAAATTTATACTTAACATCAGGAAGAGGGGGGTAAAATTACTGGGACACAAAATGAGGAAGGATGGCTTGGAAAACCTGATACTCACAAGACAGATTGAGGGAAAGAGGGACAGAGAAAAGCAGCGCGTAACATACTTGATGGGTTTGCGTAAATGGATGGTAGAACAAGGTTTGGGAGAAATAACAAAAAACACAAAATTTATTAAGTATTACAAGCGATAGGAAAATGTGGAGGGTCATGATCGCCTACGTTCTGAAGTGGCACAGCTCACAAAAGAAGAAGAAACATAACGGACCCAACTTGAATTAGTACAGAGGTCTCAGATGAACAGCTAGTTATCATCATCAAACTACACCCACATCCAATATTATAGTGCCTGGTATTTCCAATCGGTCACGCACCTAAGTACTGACAACGCTCGACGTAGCTTAGCTTCGGGGATCTTACGGGGAACCTGTGTTTCAACGGGATGTCGCCATATGTCTATTTCGTAGAAAGTATTCTTACAATGTCCATTCAGGAAGCCTCAAGTTTCTCTTCTTTAGAGAAATAAGTGATGAACCAATATACTTTGCAATATCCAAGAAAGCATTGTAAATTTCCTTGTTCCACCTACTTTCCCTGGACTGGTATTGTGACGCTTCGCCATTGAAATACTCATTTTGTGAAATGGGACAGGTGAAGAAATTTACGGCGCCTCTTCGTATCGATCAGCTTTTTGTCGGTGGCATTCACTTTACTCTGAATGAACCGAGCCATTTGATAGATTATCTAAAATTGTTCTATTCTTCGCCATTCATTTCTATAGCAAAATAGTCCCCTTTTCCTCACGCTGTCTGAAGTAGGCTGTAGAAAGGAACGGAAAAGGTGTCAGGCAGTTCTTTCCGGAATGTTCTTAACACCTTTGTTTCATTCAAACGTATTTTATAATCGACGAGATTACCCGTGACCTCTCTGTGTCTGTCTTTAACTTAAACATATTTTAACGAAAAAAAATTGTCTGTTGGAAGAAAGTTAAAATAAAAATATTATACAAGCAACTCGTATTTTTAAATCAGATTAACTTAAAAATATTTTAAATAAGATATTGTCAGTTTGAAGAAAGTTAAAATAAAAATACTTACTATACAAGCAACTCATATTTTAAAATCAGATTAACTTAAAAATATTTTAAAATCAGATTAACTTAAAAATATTTTAAAATCAGATTAACTTAAAAATATTTTAAAATCAGATTAACTATTTTAAAAATATTTTTTTAAAATCAGATTAACAAAAATATTTTAAAAAATCAGATTAACTTAAAATATTTTAAAATCAGATTAACTTAAAAATATTTTAAAATCAGATTAACTTAAAAATATTTTAAAATCAGATTAACTTAAAAATATTTTAAAATCAGATTAACTTAAAAATATTTTAAAATCAGATTAACTTAAAAATATTTTAAAATCAGATTAACTTAAAAATATTTTAAAAATAGATTAACTTAAAATATTTTAAAATCAGATTAACTTAAAAATATTTTAAAATCAGATTAACTTAAAAATATTTTAAAATCAGATTAACTTAAAAATATTTTAAAATCAGATTAACTTAAAAATATTTTAAAATCAGATTAACTTAAAAATATTTTAAAATCAGATTAACTTAATATTTCTTTAATATTTAAAAGCGGAAAAAAAATTTCTCTACAAACAACTGAACGAAACAACAAAGAGGGGTATCTTTCTGTGTTAAACTTAAAAATATTTTAAATAAGATATTGTCTGTTTGAAGAAAGTTAAAATAAAAATGCTTATAATATAAACAACTCGTATTTTTAAAAGTTATTAACTTAAATCATTATGCTCCAGACTGACGCACCACGCCCAGAATCACTGATTATATAGATTGGTAACTTAAATACAAAATACTTTTAGGTACTTCAAACTTAAAACACCATTTCCAAAAACTAAGTAAAGTATTACGAAGCAGGAAGATTTTGATTGACACTAAGCAAAAAGTACTTAATTATGTAATATAGGTCCAGCACTATGGCTATGGATGCTAAACAATCTCCTTAAAGATAAAGAGGGATGTAGCATCAATTGTCTTCCTGCAGGAGGATGCTGATAATATCATGGACTGAACATGTGACTAATGAAGTTTTAAGAATAACAGAAAGAAAAAGCATATTTATACTTAGAATCAGAATGAGAGAACTGACATTTCTTGGGCTCATTCTGAGAAAAGAGAATTCGGAGAGTTTGACACCCACCGATAAACACTGAAAGCTAGACAAAGAGAGAAATTAAGGAATAACTTACCTCCTAGTTTATGTAAATGATTGCTTCGAGCGCAAAAAAAAAAAAAAATCTTACTAACAGCTACAAACGATAAGAATTTGTGACGAATCATGAACTACAATGTCTTGAATGGACATATAGAAAAGATAGTCTTCACATTCTATCTCTTACAATAACTGACTAAACGCATCGAATCTAAACGACTTACGTCAAACACCTGATAACCGTGTCTACCATCCGACACGCAGTCGAGGAGATACAGATATTGTAAAAAGCAATCAACCATGAACGTAAATACGAAAATTATATGCATGTAGTTTAGAGGTTTTAGCATAACTTTTATTATCTGTATAAATTGAGTAACATTTACGAGACCCAGTTTTTGTTATAGTGTCTTAGAGAGAGTAGAATATTCTGAGACAAATTACAAGGAATGATTGCTTAGAAAATTCCATAAAGGCAAGAAAGGAAATATAGCGGGAAACAATAAGCAAATTACCAATATAGTAAAAGTTCCGAGCTACAAGTAATAGAAATATAGATGTAGAATACCGTAATTGCCTACGTAATGAATGCTCTTAAATGCCTAGAAATGTTTATTATCAATTCAGGTATCCCTTCAAATGGCATAGTGTATTCAACAGTCTTGACGGCGGACAATTGCGTACCTGGATAATTGCGTACCTCGCATAATTTGTTGAAGTTATTATTTTTTAAGAAATATGTAATATAGAAATTTGCAGACCAATACATTTATTTAATCTAAAACAAGCAGAAAGATAGTTACAATAATTAAAAAAAAAAAAAAGAAAAAAAAAAGAAAAATTTCAAGAGAAAATTAATCTTGCAGTTTCAGTTCACTTCAGCAGTACTTACCACAAACATCTAATGAATTCTGGATTTTACAGATTATATTTTTACTTGTAACAAATGCCTAAGTTCCGAAAATGAAACACTGGTGGAAAAAAATATTTATGGTCGAGGAAAATTACAGCTTCCACTAGCACAAGAAAAATGCCGATGAAACAAATATATAGTGGGGATGTATAGAGCGATCTTCTAACGATGTTAAAATCATTGCATTTTAAACAAAAATAAAATTAATTCTTTTTTGTCTCATTTTTTTCTCAAGATTTATAGTAATTGGCTTTAAAAGTTTCAAAAAATTATCAGAGGTCGCAATTAACCAGGGACACAACCGTCCTAGAACCAATGAAATCTTCACTTTTCAAGCTTGAAATATATCAAAAAGAAAAAAAAAATGATATGACAGAGATGATTTTCTGTTACAGATACAAAGCAAGACTTATGTACAGTATAAATGCAGTGCTGAAACTAATGAATGTAGCTCGTCTGGACATTTATAGCGAAAGAGTTACGAGAAGCTGCCAACGTTTTACTTGTGGAGGGAAAAAACACCCACAAGGACGCATAAACATTTTTGTATACTTACAAAATACATTGTAGTTTGGTTTGCCGGATATATGACGTGCCGACGTTGTTGTAACTTGGGAATCAACCGTTTTATTGACCACCAAACTGACCGCTGATAGCCGTAAAGTTGTTCCGTTGTTGCAAAATATTACGTTATTATATTTATATGGAGAAAAAAAAAAGACAAAATATTCCGTGGAGTGTTTCAACGAATATGACGGCATGACGTGACTGATCGTGAATGCGTAATGAGGTTCACGTTGCGTTCTCAGAAAACGAGGTTTGCCGTTTTTCGGAATTTTCGTAAATCTAATTTCGCCGTTAGACATTTGAACTAGTTTATCTACAACACGCTTGTATATCGTTATAATGGGGCCTTACATCAGTGAATGGGGCCGGTGAGCAACTGAAACCGTTGAGAGGAAGGCCCCGAAACGGTGCACATTCTCTCCTGAGGACCCCAGTTTAAATATAAATTCGAGAGGAACACATCAAAAGAAATTCAGTGAAGTCATATGCCGTAGTGAAGCTCGGTGGAAGTGTCATTGGCATGAGGAGCATTACACATTCAGCTCGCTTCAGGTGAGTTTCAATTACTTTCCAGTAATTTCCTTCTTTACGTCATTTCTAACGCCAGAATACGTTCGCTTTTTTTTTGTTTACAACATTTAGAAACACTAATTTAAATAATTAATGCGCGTTCTACCCCTTCTGTGGATGTATATATTTTCTGTTAACGTTATGTTAGAAGGTAATAAATAGGGAGCGTTGAGAGACGTTTACAAAGGAAGTTTTTCGAAAACGATGTAACGTTGCAGAAAGGTGTGGCAATTCTGTTCTCCTTGTTTTATTTGTTTCAAAATACCATTTCTTTATATATAGAATACAAAGGAACGCTTTAATTTATTTGTGGACGTGTTTATCTGAACACTTATCTCCACTCTCACGTGTAGCTGGCGACGCTACTTTGTCAGTATCGACCTCTGAGCTTTGATCCAACGTCAGCTTTGCTCGAGACTGATTTTATCCCCAAAGCATGCAGACGCGGCCCATGACCTGGACGCTGGCAATGGAAGCTAAAAACAATGTGAAGTTGATGTGGTATCTTCAGCTTTTATTAATATCAAGGTGTCGGCTACAGCAGTTTATATAAAGACGAGGTGGCGAGGGCGGAGGAAACGTGATGTCGTAGGCGAAGTTTTATCACTTAAGATATCGGTTTTAGTGTTATGACAAACAAACAAACATTCCCGTCAAAAATGTAAAAAAAAAAATATCAATTTTCTCAATCATATAAGATAATATCACATCATAAAGGACAATTAAAGTTTTGATAAATGCGTGCAAATATTTTCATAGCCGTTTTATGGATGTATCATATATTTCGTTCATTATTTGTTAACATACTTATTTCCATTGTAATATCGATCACTTATATCAAACAATCTACAGTGAATCTTTCAGAACATATTTCAGTTACTAACTACCCTAAGGTGCCTCATGTATATGAAGAAGTTTCCGATCTCTCCAAGATTATTAATTTCACACTTAATTTTGGCTGACCTGGCAACTCGGCTTACTCATTTTGCTTTCAACGTAACGTAGCTTCCCTGTGGCATTTCTATAAATATTTTCATGGCAAATGTTCTGGTGAATTTAAGCGTACGACTAGATTGGCATCAAGGTGTATCATTTTACAGTTGAAATGGTTCGATGTAACCCTAAGTTCTATGCTAACAGTTTCT